CTGTGGGCCATCTATGTCAAGCGCATCAACCTCGCTCCAAACAAAAGACAGCTCGTCAGCCTCATCCGTGTTGAACACCCTAATAGCTCAGCATTACTAAACCATCACGACAAAACTGTCCTTTTCAGGACCACTTAAAATTATTGTTGTTCAAGAATTAATTTGCATTGAACAATCACTCACCTTGCTGTCAGCCACATCACCCCCAAAGCTCTTTGATAACGTACCCAGCAGCAAAACGTTTGGTCAAATACGTCAAGTATTGAAGAGGTACATACAAATTCTCGTAATGACCGAATACCACATGACCATGTCAATAAGCCAAAAACACTTCAACGCACAGATACATGCAAAAACCTTTTGATTGCTTAGTAAAACGAAATCTAATGCTTGGAATTGCGTTACAAAAAAAGGTTTGTATTGAAATAGTGCATTTTATAGGTATGTTGTCTTCAGAGAAAATTTTACTAACAATAAAGGGTGATACGCTCAAAATTTGGTCAAGGGAAAACGCGTGTAAATCGGTGAAATCGTTTATTTAAAAAATCAAATTAAATTTCTTTTTCAAGTTCAATTAGTATAAAATTCAGGAAAAATATTCAGTTAGGCTTCCGCTTTTCCAAATCCGAATTGCCGGGCCTTACGCTTGACCCCTGCCATCAGATTTTGTGCAGCCACCTTGTCCACCTTCTTCGCCGCAGAAAGCCAGTTTGCCTTGAACTGCTGCTCGCCCTTAGCAGTTTTTTTGGTCTTCTTTAGGTTCCGCTTGACAATAGCCCAGTATTTCTCAATTGAGCGGAGCTCTGGCGTGTTGGGAGGGTTCTTGTCCTTGGGAACCACCTGCACGTTGTTGGCGGCGTACCACTACATGGCCTTTTTACCGTAATGGCAAGATGCCAAATCCGGCCAAAACAGTACGGAACAACCGTGTTTCTTCAGGAAAGGCAGCAGACGTTTATTCAAACACTCTTTCACGTAAATTTCTTGGTTGACAGTCCCGGAAGCTATGAAAATGCTGCTTTTCAAGCCACAGGTACAGATGGCTTGCCAAACCAGATATTTCTTTGCGAACTTTGACAGTTTCATGTGCTTGAAAACATCTGCTACCTTTCCCCTTCCTTTTGCCGTATAAAACTCCTGTCCCGGAAGCTGCTTGTAGTCGGCTTTGACGTAGGTTTCGTCGTCCATTACCACGCAGTCAAACTTCGTCAGCATCGTCGTGTACAGCCTCCGGGATCGCGCTTTGGCCGTCGTATTTTGTTTATCATCGCGATTTGGAGTCACTACCTTCTTGTAAGTCGATAGTCCGGCTCGTTTTTTGGCTCGATGCACGGTTGTAGACGATACACCCAGCTTATTTGCGGCATCTCGGAGAGAGAGGTTAGGGTTTTGCTTGAAACTACCGGCAACTCTCTTTGTCGTCTCAGCGGCTTCCGGTTTTCGATTTCCCCCCGATCCAGACTTCCTGGCTGTCGACAAACGTTCCCCAAACACTTTAATTACATTTGTAACGGTTGATTTGGCAACTTTTAGCGATTTTGCCAACTTTGCGTGCGAGTAGCTCGGATTTTCGCGATGCGCGAGCAAAATTTTGATACGCTGCTCTTCTTGCTTGGACGGCATTTTGACAACTGAAGAGTGAATTCCAAAATCAAAATAGGAGCAACATTCAACACACACACACCTTCAAAATGAGGGGTGTTCAGGTTTTTTAAATGCAAAATTGAAAGAAATACGTCAAGTTGATATTGACCAAATTTTGACCGTATCACCCTTTATGACCTTTCATACGAAGTACTTGTGTAATTGTTGAGCAAAGTTAGCGACCACTATGATTGTGGTCCTAAAATTGAGCTTAGAAAATTTAACCAATAAATCGATCTTGTAAAAACTGCTAGAGATAGCAATTTAAGTCCTTTTTTTTATAAAGTCTCTTTAACACTCATGGGTCATTCATGACTTGTCCGGGGGGAGAGATTTGAACTCGTGACTTTGGCGTCAGAAGTATGGATGTTAACCACTACGACGGGGTCACCTAGTTCTTAAATTTTGCACGGAAGAGTTTTTTTTTCTCGATTGAGCGCTGCGTTATTTTGTAAAATATCGATGAAGTGAGTTATTCTAAGCCGACCCACTTTCACCTTAAGGTAAGACTTCACAAAAAGAAAATTCACAAAAACTCGAATCTATATGGTAGATCGGGAATATCTCGCGATTGGAAAATATTAGCAAAGGAACTTCTCCAATAAACTTCTCCAACAAATGACTGATAAAAGAGTTCAAATAAGAGCTTGTATATTAACATATCGTCCAGGACACCGACAAAGCACCTCAAAAACAGAATTCTCAAATTGCTTCCGAATTTCAACCTATCGAACTTTTCGACTGATAACGAGTTAAGAAATCAGTTCACTATTTACAATACTTTTCCTGTGACATCAAAAGTACCTTTCGTAATCCTACGTCAAATCTACGGTCGTATCTTGGATACAACCTCTTACTTTTTTGAGTAAACTGCAATCACCCTTGTGAGCACCATACTCAGAACGGGAATCGCCTAGCACTTCGGAGCTCCATACTTACGCATTGCGCATGTCCACACGCCTTACCTCGAGGTCAGTCAGCAATCGAAAGAGGATCATTCAACGATGTGCCTGACCGCCTCGCCGCGATGACGTGTTGCCAGTATTGATAATAGGTCACCTTCGAACTGGGCTACTCTTTGAACGAGGGGTACATTGAGCCCACTCACAACCCTCTCATACTCGAAATGTGCCTCGACTAACCTGGTACAACGATGCCCTATTCGCTCTCTGATCAAAGGGCAGGGAGCAGTGATGCTGTTTAAACTAGTCCTAAATGAGTCCAGGTTAAGTCTGGAGTTCTATAACGGGAAGCTTTAGCTTCAATATTTAGCAGTGAAACATCTAGAAGTCAACGCAGGAGTGCTGAAACTTCCAACAAATTATCCGATCTCCAGGACGATTTGAGGAACCTTGAACACTTCATATACATGACATAGACCCTATGAACCTGTTTGGACATATTTCGATGCAGCAGACATTGTCCGAGTTTGGGTTGATCTTGCAGAACAAATATCTGAACTCTATGATGATTTGAAGAAAATGGATCATCTGAGTTACATGACAATAGGTCATACATGATTCTCATTGATACTTTAGTCCTGTTGCTTTCAAATGAGCCCAATTTTTCAAGAATCGGTCTACAAATAAATGTTTGAGAGCAAGTTGAAATCTGGATCAAATAGACCCGTTTATGCACTTTTGTCATTTTTTTTTTTGTAGTGCCGCTCCTAGAGGTCGCTGAAAGTTGATTCTGGTTGCACAATGTTTGTTTTAGAAAGTTAGGAAAAGTCTCAAAATTTCAACTCTATTGCTTGTTCCGTTGCAAATTTACAGCAATTTCTAAAGCTGGGTTTAGACAGAACAAGTCAATTGATCAAGTCAGTTGAATTCAATTGACTTGTAAGCCAATTGAATGTGTAAACCATGCCATTCAACTGACATGATCAACTCACTTGAATTGAAAAAAGTTGAACCAGGCTCAACTTTTCAAGCCAATTGAATTCAACTGAGTTGATCATTTGACTTGCCTAGTCTAAACCCAGCTTAAGTGTCGCTTAAGTCATATAGACCCTAATGCACCCGAGGAAGGTTTAAACCGTTAACGTAGTCAGTCATAATCAATTTCATGAACCACTCACATTGCAGCATAATTTTCCCTTGTTGTGGCGTGTCGCAGAGTGGACTCTGTTGCTTCTTTTCCACACGCACACACGCACACACTTCTGTCAATCTGTTGAGCTTTCCACCGACACAGCTGATTCGGATCCCCTTTTCAGGCCCGTTCACACTTCATTCGGAGCGAATGAACTTCTTTGCTCGCAGCCTTGGATCGTCGGCTCTCACTCTCATCGCTCTCATCGCGCTCAACGTCTGTTGCTTCCCTCCTACGGTGAGTGGTGAGCGATCATTCGCTCTCCCATTCGGTTTGTTGTTGTTTTTCGAAAGCGTCCCTTGAATTTTCTTGAACCATTCACCTAGCCACCCACCCACCTGCTGCCATATTGTTGGAGTTTCGAGAGACGGCGAGAGCAACAGCTCCTTTCTTCGGGTCGGAGAGCCCAACAACGACGACGACGACGACCGGGTTGGCTTGCAGCTCGACCAGCCAGCCAGCACTCCTCAGTCAGGGTGAAACCGTGCAAAGTAGCGTGAGCAAAAGTTCCTCCAGGAGAACCCTAGGGAAGTTTCCACCGAGGCGCTGCGCCACCCGCAGGAAGTAGCAGCAAACGGGGTGAAGTAAAATAAGAAGAAGAAGAAGTAACAGCAGTGTCAGTTTACTACGGTCGAGTGAGTGTGTGTGTTCGCATTCCTATGTAGTGTCCCCGTGCTCCCTCAGCCTACCTGCCACTCGACGACACAAGAGGATAGTGAATGAGCGTCTGGCCTATATCCTGAATCTAAGAGGCCCCACCAGTTCCTACGGGGGGAGATAGACGGACGGGAGCACCCCCCGCGAGTAGAGCTGGGAAGTGATTGTGTGTCAGGTGTGAAGATTAAACCCCCGCCTTCCCCACAATCGCCAGTATAGTGAAAGGTGTGAGGCCACCGACAACAATAGCCCACGGGAGGAGCAGCAGCAGCAGCAGCAGTGAGTGAGGATGTGATAGTTTTTCATTGGTGCACGAGTTTCAGCTAATTGCAATTTTCTCTCCCACGCGCGCTCGGGAAAACCGGGATTTCGCGACTAGTCTCCTAATATTTTCTAGTGATTTTTTCTCCATCGATCCTCTCCGCCGTACACATAGTTGCTAGTTGACCCGTGCTGAGTGCTTTTCAAGTGTTTCACACCTACGGGAGGCTGGGTGAGTGAGTGAGTAAGTAGCAGAAATTCCTGGTCCGCGCTCCGCTGGTCCCTCGAAGGCGGTGGAAATTTACGGCTCGGATTATTAATGAAGGATGATGAAAAAAGTGTGAAACGTTGGCAGAATAAATTTTCCTCGTTGCCAGTGGTGTTAGATAAAAGGTTCGTTTCATTCTTTCTGGCCCGGTTCCAACGGCTGAAGAACAAGAAAACGAAAGAGTGTGACGTACAGGTAAATATTTGAGATATTTGCGGTTCAGTTGAAAGCAGGAGAAAAAAAAAGTGAGTGAAAGTGAGCACATAAATCAGGAAAAGAAGGTGCCAACGGAAATGTGCTACGGCACGAGCTGAACCAGTTGAAGAGTCATGGAAATGGTGTTTCCGGTGCTAGAAGAAAAGTGTTACATCCCTCCTCATTCCTAACTACCAGTTGCCCCCTCCCACTCCATCATTAGCCTCAAACAGCCCGAAAAAACGTGGAAGAATAAGAAACAGAAGAGTACACTAACAACAACAACAACAACAACAACCTCAGCCAAGCTTAATTGTCTCATACGAAGCTTCTCGTAAATAGAATAATCCGAGCAGGCTGTGGTAGGAAGGTGGCAAAAGTGAAGAAGAAAAAAAAAACATCGAAGGAGGCCAACCGACCATTAACAGTCGGAACGCGCACAAACCATCCCCCTCCCCGGCCCGAACCCGTCTTCAGTGCCACGGGAATAAAAGTATAGGAAGCTCGCGTGCAACTCCAGCGCGGTATTTCGGTTGTGTTTAGTATTATCCTATTCGTGGAGGATCCTCGTGGCACTCCTTGACAACCTGTCATCATCATCATCATCATCGTCATCCGCGCACGACTTGCCGACGACGCACAGCACTCTAGATCTATTCGAAAGCACCCACCACCGCCCCGCCCCGCATCGGCATCATCGCAGTCAACCGACCACCCTCCCCCGATTCGTAGTGAAATCTCGTGGAAATAATGGATAAAATTTGGATAACATTTTTGCTGATGATCATCGCAGTCATCGACGTGCAAACAAGTGAGTACATGGGTTGTATTTTTTTTCTCTCATTCCTATTGTTCCTTTGTCAGTCGTCAAATTTAAATGGTACTCACGACCAACTGGAGGAAGCGGGAGGGAAGGCGACGGGGAATCAGCAGTCACGATTTTATTCGCACAATGTTGGCTGTGAAATTTGATTACGGTGGCTGGGATTTTTTTTTTCTCCGCCGGCGTTGATTCTGCTAGAGCTTCGGTTAGAAAATGTGACGGAATGTGGCAGGAATTGTCAAAATGATTTCGAAATCGGTTAGGTATTGCCTACCATTTGTTTGTTTGCAGTTAGGGTGGAAAAAATGTTTGACGTATTGGGGAAATTTGATTAACGATTTTGAGTTGTTGTTTTTTGGATGATTTTTGCTCTATGGTGGGACCAGTTATGGATGGAATGGATTCTTAGAAATGTATGTATTGTGAATGCTGCGACTGCCATCATCTTCGGAATTTGAATGTTATCCAGATTCGTGCCTTATTTCAGCAGTAAAGTATGGCAAAATACGAAACGCTTTATCCGATAATCCGACGATGCCGGATTATAATGTAGGCAAATGTCATTTATGATAGCAAATAGGAATAAATTCCTACAGTAAACGAAATCGACAAACTAATGTTACTAAAATCAGCAGCTATGGGATCTCTATCGTTCTAATTTAAAATTTATTTATTCGTAGTCAATCAAATGTAGACCAGTTTACGTTACAAAGACCCATATTGATCCGGGCAGGTGAATAGAACCTTTGTTACACAGTATAATCTCGTTTTTGATATTATCCATAGATATACGAGGCCCTAATGGATATTTTTATTTGTATTGGTCACAGTTTCCGCACTGCTCAATTGAACAGCAATTGCTAGTTTGATTTGAAGTCCAAATCATAATTCAATAATCAATTGATTTACGTCTTTACGTTTATTTCCTAACATGACAATAATTTTATTATATAATTGTGGCTTGTCTATGTGGAACTGATTTAAAATTTACGTAGTGTGAAGTGTATATAAATCACTTTCTTCTTCTTGACTTACAACTGGAGCTTTATGACTTTATACTTAATCTGCTTTATTGTGTCTACATAAGACTGATGCAAAATTTGACTTTTTCGCTCCACAGTGCTTAAATGGTTTCAAATCGGGTCCTGATTAGCCTCCCAAAGTTGCAACTCATTTGGTTAGAAACAGACTTCGCACAAGCCATTTGAAGTTTACATGTAAATTACTATGGGAAATCTCAACTTTTTGTTCACTGCCTTCTAGTGTTTTTCAATATTGAGCTGCGAAACATATTCTTATAGAAAATGTTCTCAGCTACAACTTTGCGAAAGATTGTTTCTATGTAAAACGAGACAGGAAAAAGTTATTAATTATTTAAGAGGTTGGTAAACTTATGACATGTACAAGCAGCTGCTCTGTATTTTGCAGTGTGACATAGTAGCCATGATTTTTGTGTCCTATTCAACGCCCCAGAAACACCAATGTTGCCTGCTGAGCAGTTGATTGAGCATGATCATAAGACATCAGCGCATTGAACCATTGTTAACTTTCGATCATTGCATTTGATCAAAAAGTGGTCTTCAGTTAAGTTGTAGCTGGTACAAGTACAGTTGAAAACTTTTTTAAGCAGACCGATATGGTGAATTATTAGATAGACATGAACAAAAATCTTGGTTTTACCATAGTAATTCCCATACAAACTTCAAATAGTTTGTGCCATCTCAGTTTCTCACCAAATGGGTTCAAATTTTGAGAGGTTAGTCAGGATCCGATTTGGAATCGTTCAAGTATTGTGGAGCGAAAATTTCAAATTTTGCATCACTCTAGTCTACATAATTTAAGCACAACCAATTGACGATCCAATAAAGTTTAATAATCAATCAGTCCAATTCTCCGTATTACATCATTGGACAAAACACACGAAAATCGTGTGAAAAAGTTTCTACTGTTTATCGTATTCTGGCATCCTTGATAACAGTTCGGAAGAGGGGTGGTGGAAAACCAGCCAAAATAACGAACGAAAAAGGATTTCGATCGCTACACAATACGTTCAACAATATTAAAGACATATTAAAAAGATTTTTTGTGATGAAACTACTAGCGCAACACGAGAAAAGGGCCTATCATGTTTGATCGATTCTCTTCATCGATTTTCTCTTTCGCGAAAAATTCGAATGCAAATGAATTTCCCAATCAGTGTTTAGATTCAGATGCAAGCTAACTATAGTCGCTATATTTATAGTCTGGCGGATAGAATTTCGAATCTATCAAAAAGCGGAACCAATTCAAAATATTGTAGACCAACAATTGAAAAGGTATTATCAAGCTTTATAAACATAACGTTGGTTGTTCTTTCCTCAACAATCGAACGCGAATTACTGGCATCATCGGATATGGGAAACTTTCCCGAGCCCAAAGATGGTGTTTGTTTGCGTAGGAGTGCCTTAAGTCACCAGAAAACGGGTTCCGGAAGTTTTGTTCGCAATAGCTGATGTGCTCTTTTCTGTTGCTGGCCGTGATTTGCTCGATTGGTTCCGCTATTCGACAGCTCAATTGGTTCCCGAGATTCTCTTCAATATTCTATGAATATAGCGACATCGTAGCTATGATCATCCGCGTAGTTGTAGTTAATAACAAAACCTACAAAAGCTCCATACATCGTTTTGTGGAATTCTGTTGATGAAAAAGGTTAGGGGCAAATGAATGCAAATGAATGCTTGAAACGAATGCAAATGATTTTCCATGCCTGGTCCAGGGTTTGCTCTGACGGTTCTCAACACCTTCTGCTTCAGCTGGCGGTCATATATTCCACTACGACTAGAGCTTCCATCCCGGGATGTCCCTGGATGAAAATCCCGGGATTGTGATATTTTCCGGGATTACCGAATCCCGGGAAATAAATTTATAAATCCCAGGTTTGCGTGAATCCCGGGAAATTTTTTAATCACTCTTTTACCCCATTAAATCTATCTTGGAATATCTGTAGCAGAATCCAACTTTCACATCTTATGAAATATATGTAACTCTTCCCTTCGTTTGTCATTCATTCTGATTTATCGAAAGCATGGCACACAGATATCACTTTTTGTATATGATCGTTGTACAAGAAGCACTCGTGAAAAATACGATCTAGCAGTGAAACAAACCGTGAACATTTTTATTAAATTTTATAATCGCGTATCTAGATGGTACATACACGAAAATCAGGTTGAGCGTTGTGAGATGTTCATCATTCATAGTTGATCGAAAAACCATTGAAATGCATTGTTAAGATGGTTGGAAGTACGTAGTACTAGTCTCAACTGATGAAAAAAAATCAATGTATTTGCAGTTTTTAGAGTCCTTTCTTAGATTAGCGAGCTGAATGTTGTAAAATGCTTACTCCTTCTAGAGGAACTTCTATATGTCACCGTTTTCTATCCAGGCTTCCATAGCTCTCCATCGCTGTCATTTGTTACACACAAAGGTATGCACTACCTTTACCCGTAAGTATATAATCAATATGTAATCCTAAAGCACGGCAAAATAGTTTTTACAAATACATTCATGAGAGAAAACATCCACCATAATCCTCGGACTATTGTGAAATTTGGCTGACAAACATAACATCACGTCACATTAGGGAACTTCTTAGATGTCAAGAGACATTCATTTGATTTCAGAGAACTTCATAGAAGTTCGTGAAACTTCATGGACCATCATAGATCTTCAGGATACTTCGTAGAATGTTAAACAACTTCGTGGACGGTGATTACGGAACATCGCATGCATTATTTGAAAGTTCAGCAAGCTGGGTAGAAATTTAGTTGTACTTATCGAAAAATTGATGATGTAAGCTATGGAAATTTTTTTGAAGAACTGGGAACTTCGAAGAAGTTGACGGAATATCCCAGGATTTCGTCGAATATTCTACATATTCAGAGAACTTTATGTAGGCTTTAAGTTCATGGAACTGAGTTTAAGTTCAAGAAACTTATTGAAAGTACAGGAATCTTCGTATAACTGATATTCACGGATATGCGAGGATATCTCTCGATATTATTCAAGACTTTTCAACTTAATCAAGTAATGTTCTGAAGATCTTCAACTGTTCAAAAATGCAAACTACATCTTTTAGACATCCTTCCAAGATGGAAGTTTGATTACAGAGTATTTAAAAGATATGCAATTGGTCCGAGATTTAACGACCTCTGGATATTGTTCCTGAAGTCTTGAAGTTGATTAATTATTATTCTTAAAATATTCAACTGTTCATAAAATTATCTCTCAAGATTGCTGGTTGGTCAGATATTAGTGAATTCAGGTTGATCAGGAAATCTGAAGATCTCAAACTAGTCAAACATTCAATTGGCTCTCTCAAGATGGCAGACCGGTTTGGAAGTACTTATGGATCTCCAGCTGATCGAAGATCACAATAAAGTCCTCTGGATATTTTTCAAGGCTTGAGGTTGAACAAGTATTATTGTGAAGATATTCTCCGAAAACTGTACGTTGATCAGGAAGTATTCAAAAGATCTCCAGCTAATCGAATATTTCAGTTAAGTCCTGTGAATATTTAATTGGATCAAGTTTTATTCTGAAATATCCGATTTTGGTTACATTACTCATATTCAACATGTTCAGGAAGAAGCTTAAAATTTTAAGTCAAAAACTTTATTTATTTAACAAAAATCTTCATACGCCAGCTTAAAATTTAAAAAAAGATCCATCGGAAGCCTGCTTCAGCATTCTTTCACACACACGTCTCTTACCGATGATATGTGCTTACCTCTCAAACTTTCTCACAAACAAAAAAAATACTTTCACAGCATTTTAAATGTCTTCAAAATGAAGATTTGTCTTTAAATCTGGTATCCCTAGTATTGAAGGAATCTCAATTTTTAATCTTTCTTCGAAGGAGATGAAACAAACGAATATTAAAACAATTTACTATCTTTGTTCACTTCCCGGGATCCCGGGATTTCCCGGGATATCAAATAAAAATTTCC